ATTGATTGATTGATTTATTGATTGATTGATTGATTGATTGATTGATTGATTGATTGTGTCTCTGAGCAACATGACGTTGTTTTGTTTCTGAATGAACCAACCGTTTAAATTATTCGGTTCAATCGCAATGACTCACTTAAACTTGCTGCCACCTACTGGCGGTTTTAATTTCACATTTAAAGTATCTTTTCATTTTTTTAATAATTTCAAATATCAGTATTCAACATTATAGTTACTTGTTAAGAACGGACCATTATTCTAAAGTGTTACCGAAATGTATTGTTTCTTATATTGTAAACAATGTATTTTATTTAAAGATTTATATATTTTATTTATGAACTGATGTTCAGCTGCACTTTTTAATAATAAACTTATTTTCGGGTCATCAGTCATCCGAGCTCGGTAAGGTCACTGACGTGGAGATGTATCTTTAATTTCAACACGTTGATTGCTCACTAAAAAAACCCACAGATAATTTTTTTCAGGCTATTGATGTTTGATTTTGACTTGACAAAGTGGTGATATATAAGTGTGTAATTTGTTTACTTTTTTATTAATCTTCCCGTTATTGTTCATTCAGACACAAGAGGCGGAATTTATCGCATGAACCAATCATAACCAGTCATATCCAATCATATCACGATGGAGGCATTGCCTCCTCTCACGTGACTTTTCCCCCATTCATTTTCAATTACTCCAAACTCACGGCATGTTTTAGGGGGTCTGTTAAAACTCAGTGGGCTCAGGGGAGGCAAGAAAGTCCCGGACTCCTATTGTTACTTTACTTGCTGGTGTCACTGTTTGACAGTTTTACTTGAGAAAAACGAATGATTTATACGGTTTTTATGTAATATTTTGTAATATTTGTGTTGTTTTATTATTGTACTATGACTATTTTTTCTCACTGCCTCCCTTGCCTTCTTGGGAAAACGCGCCTGATATATACGTGTATATATATATATATATATACATGTGTATATATATATATAATATACGTATATATATATACACATGTGTATATATATATATATATATACACATGTGTATATATATATATATATATATTATTGTAAGGTTTGAGAGCTACAGCAGAGGGGAAAGATTTTATGAGAGTTATGACTTCAATTTCCATATAGTACTTTCCTCAAGCAAAGCTGTCATGTGTCTTGCAAAGACTTGAAATATAGCCCTAAAGTGTCACTTTATAGTCTTTTTCAATTTTGGAACTTGAAAACCTAAGTACGCCTCCATTCACTTTTATTTTATGCAAATGAGCAGCCTGGACATTCTGCGTAACGTCTTCTTTTGTGTCATACAAAAGAAAAAAGTTCATACCAGTTGGAATGATGTGTGAAATGACAATGGAATTGATTCCTTCAATTGTAGAGTCTTCTGTAGTAGTATCCTGTTTCAGTAGTGATATACTGTAAAACCACGTTTTCTTTATTAAAATTTTTTTTTTTAACTTCACATGCATCATAATTACCTAGACTGTCCCAAATTTTGCAGCCTCGTAAATGTTTTGTCTATCGGCGAATCCTGAAATCCATTTGAAGTTTATTTTTTTAAATCTTCTGCATTCCACTTTTGCTGCGCTCTTGAATAAGGTATTGCTGACCAATCAAATCTTGGAGGCCAGGTACAGTTAAGTGTACGCTGGCAGTGCTCCAGGCTGGCAAATGGAGTAAAGTTATGAGCTCAGTGGGTTTGTGGGTAATTGTGGCAACATCGGGGATGAGAGAGTGGCACAGTGTGAAACGCATTAACGCAAGTCAACCCTGCTCTCTCTTTACAGCATCAGGGCACGAGGTTCAGACAACGCACGGCAGCTGACATGTCGAGTGAAGAACCCAGCCGCTCATCAAGCTCTCGAGACTAGCATGACCATGAGGGTATTCTGTAAGAACCCTGCAATTGTGACTTAAATTCACACTGAATGTGTTTACAATGAATTACTCCTAATAATCAATCATTAATGGTGATCTGTGATCAGTGTTTAATTAAATGGAGCACATACTGTAAATAATGAAAATCGCCATGATTTTGAATTTAAATCAAAGATTTTCTCACACAGTTCATGGCCACAGCTATGTAACTCGTAGTTAGTTGGGCCTTTTCCTGTCAAGTAATACTCTTGTTCCTTTCACTATGAAAATAAATTTGCCCTTCACTCTGAGACGATAACACTTACCAAGACCAGGAGTACACCCTAAACCACTAAAGGCAGCATGAAGCACTGTCTGCCATTTTACTTCCACAATGTGACTTATTTACTTGTGAAACAGGGTATTCGAAGAGAAAAAATTTGAATTTTATTCACTTGGTATTGTGAAAAATGTTTTTTGTATGTTATTCAAGTAAATAATGATATTTAACATCTAAATACATTAGGTTAGACCAATAAAATTAAATTTTAAGGGTTGGATCAGATGGACTTCTTATATGGATCCCCTAAAGGGACATGGTAAAAATTGTAAATGAGAAAGAAAAAAAAACAAGTTTCTCGTAGAAACACAAATGGTTTACGAGATTTTTTTAGAGAGAACGCAAATGTTTTGCGAGCAAACACATAGTTTCTTGGGAGAATGCAATATTTTTGTGAGTAAGCATAAAATGTTTTGCTAGAGAAAGCGAACTTTCTCGGGAGATCGCAATACTTTTGTGAGAGAGTGCAAATTTTTTGAGAGACAAGGCAAAGTTTCTTTGGAGAATGCAGTACTTTTGCTAGAAACTGCAAATGTTTTGAAAGACAATGCAAAATGTCTCAGGGGAACTCAATACTTTTGCGAGAGAATGCAAAGTTTGCCAGGGAAACGTAACATTTTTGCGAGAGAATGCAAATGTTTTGCGAACAGTCGCAATGTTTCTTGTGAGAGTGCAATATTTTTGCAAGAAAACATCAAATGTTTTGCGAACAGTCGCGATGTTTCTTGTGAGAGTGCAATATTTTTGCAAGGATTTTTTGTTTTGCTAGACAATGCAAACTTCCTTGGGAGAACTTGTAAAGAGAACGCAAATGTTTTTCAGTTTCTCAAAAGAATGTAATACTTTTCCTAGAGAATGCAAATGTTTTGATAGACAATGCAAAGTTTCTCGGGAGAATGCAACACTTTTTTGCTAGAAAGCGCAAATATTTTTGTGGGTAAACGCAAAGGTTCTCGGGAGAATGCAGTACTTTTGTGAGAACACGCAATGTTTTGAGAGAGAAAGCAAATTTTCTCCGAGGAATTTTTGTGAGAGAATTCAAAAGTTTTGTGAGCGAACACAAAAGCATTCAAATATTCCTCCCAGCTTATGTTTTTTTCCATCACCTTGTCACATTAGGGGCTCCGTACCTTCATGACATTTCAAACGTGTCTTTTTTTCTGCAAAACATCATTTTTTTTTTTTTTTATGTTGCCATCCATACAATTAAAAGTACTGTAAATGGGATTCAAAATCACATTGAACCCCACTGACTTTTATGGTATGGACAAGAAACACAGAGACATTTTTCATAATATCTTTTGTGCAAACATTTTGAACTATCCCTTTAAGGTATCAATTGTGGCTTGCCATGTTCTACCAAGTAGGGTTGATTTACGGTTCATGTTGACTTTAAAAAAAGAAACACCAAAGTCCTTTCAAATCAGTTTAGAGCATCATGTTTTATCTCATACTTTTTCCATGTTATGTAAGCTTATCTATTATGTTATTAGGTGAGCTTTGAAAACCTATGCAGCCTAATGCACGTTTTAAATTCCATGTGATATGATGCATTTCACAGGCATAAGCTTCCACCGAAACGCCAATCACATTTTTTTCTGCTCACTAAATTTATGCTTTAAAACACTGGCCCCCCTTCCCTCACCCCAGCTCATGGTTCCATTACCGCCCAGCCAGTGCAATAAGTGCTAATGTAGCAGAACCGATGGCCAGCAACGCTGTCTTACTCAGCACGCCTGGCCCATCAAATCCAACTTTCCACTGCCCATTTTCATCTGCAGCAGATTGTGAGCAAGACAGCACTTTGTCATGGCAGACTCTCATCCGTCCATCGCGCCCGCTTCCAAACTGATTGGGGCAATAACAAAGAGCGGCCCAGCCCCATAATTTATTTTATGGCAAATGTATTATTCAGGAGCCCCACTGTAATTTATTCATGTTCCACATTGCCTTATTACGGTTTAAACATCTGTTATTTTGGTTTATGGACTGGTGCCAGTGTGTGGGTCGCTCTTTATACTTAATGGTTTCATCAAAGGGACAAGCGATGTCTTCCCGCTGCACTGGTGTTAAATGTCCTCGATTTAATAATGTTGTACGGGACTAAAATAGAGTCGTGCTCTTCCTGACGCTGTGATGCTCAAACTTGTGGTCGTTTTTCTACCTTGCTCTTTCTTCTTCTTCCTCCACTTCATCTTTCATGACTGGCTCTAACATGAAAAGACAATACGAATGATTCAAACTTCTGTCTATTGATGTCGTAACCCTTCATTCATTTCGTTCAGTTCCCCCACAGGCTCCGGTGATCATGGGATTAGAAAATGAAGAGGTCAAAGCTGGTTCCTTTCTCAGGTTGGTATGCATGTCGTACGGGGGCAACCCACTAGCCACTCTGCATTGGACTAAGGTGAGAGAAATTCATCCTCGGTTGCCCTTTTCTTTTTCCGGAATAATTACTTGGCCTCTTCCTTTACTTGGAGGATACAAAAAAGTCCTTGATTTTTTTAGTTTATATTTATTGATTAAACTTTTATCTGCCACAAATTAAAAAAAAATCTGTTTGATTAATAAAACTTTACAAAAAGGTCCCATGAGTTAATGCATTAACTATTAACTAACTATTAGCAGTACATTTTTTGGTAACACTTTAGAATAGGGAACACTTATTCACTATTAACTACGACTTTTCCCTCAGTAAATTCCTAATTTGCTGCTTATTAATAGTTAGTAAGGTAGTTGTTAAGTTTAGGTATTGGGTAGGATTAGGGATGCAGAATAAGGTCATGTAGAATAAGGCATTAATATGTGCTTAATTACTACTAATAAATGGCTAGTATTCTAGTAATATGCATGCTAATAAGCAGCTAGTTAAGAGACCTTAAAATAAAGTGTTACCAATTGTTTGCATTATTTATTGATTTTTGCTAACATTTAATACAAATATAACTGTTCTTTGTTAGTTCTTGTTAAATCAGGTCCATTAAGCAATACAAAAGATACAACTTTTGATTTTAAGAATGTATTGGTAAATGTTGAAATTAAAATTAACTAAGATTAATAAATGCTTTAGAATTATTTTTCATTGGTAGTTAATGTTAAGTAATATAGTTAACTAATGGAAACAAATGGAAACTTATTGTAAAAAGTTGACGAATGCATTGAACACATTCATTAATTCTATTTTTTTTGTTTAAGACCTCCAAGGTGGGATAAGCCGAAAATCATTACTTTTTGGGTAGGGGATATTAGGATAATTTTATAGTTTATCTAGCATATGTGATAGTTCACAAACCAAAAAACATGGAACTTGTGCCTCTAAAATGTCACGGGACACCAAAGTGTACTGCATTCATGGAACGTGCCACTATAAATTGGCCCAAATGTTATGTTAAGCAGGTACAGTAGCTGTTAGATGAAAAATGATGGGCTGCATCATTCAACCATGCGAGAGCTGTTTACCAAAATGCTTTGCAGGCCAATTACCATAAATGTAATGCCAAAGTAAGGTCACAGTGGAACATAGGTTGCTAAAGTAATTTGAAGCTAGGTGGAATCTGGCAGGTGCACCAGTGGTTGTTATATTCTTTAAATTTTATCAACCTCAGAAATTATGAAGCATTGGCATCTCAAACAGCTTAATAAATGTGATGCAAAGCTTCAGTGCCACTGAAAATTCTGCTGAGACTGTGTCAGAGGACTAACTCAAGATAACAGCATGCATATGTTCACAAAAAAACTATGCTGAGAGCACAGAATGAACAAAAGCAGTGCTTTTTATAAAGGCCATTCAACATTTCTTAAAGACACTCTGAGAGTGGCTCTCGAGTAATGTTAAGTGGACTGCCCTTGTGTAAATTGTTCTCTTAAATAGGACATTAGGAAACTATGATAAATATGGGGGGGGGTGCGTGTGAGTGAATGACTAAACTCAGCAAGCCTAGGGGTAAGCTGAAAGCTGCAACCAAGAACTTTATTAAACGTCTGTGTTTAGAGACAGAGAGAAGATGTCAAGCTTTAAATCATTTGCAAGTGAAGTCTAGGCACACGAATCTACTTTTCAATTCATGTAGTGTCCCGCAGACAGACTCACAGCGGAGACTCTCAGTTTACTTTGATAAAATGTGTCAGTCCTGACATCTCTAATAATTTTCAGCTAATGCAAATGTTAGCGTCTGCAACACTGTTGACTGGATGACTGATCTCAGACACAAATGTCTTTTTCTCGAAGTAAAGTTTGCATCTATCTATCTATCTATCTATCTATCTATCTGTCTATCTATCTATCTATCTATCTATCGATCTAT